CCCCTGAATTAGCCCCTTAACCACACAAGAAGTGTGTACGTGCAGAATATAAAATTAATTGTTCAACCGCTTGCATCCGGTTAAAGAAAAACGAAGTGAGCGACCTAAGCGAAGGTTCAAGTTGTGGTTTTGCAAAATTTGGTTTTTCGTTCGAACAAAACTGATTAATTATGAATTTGTATAAAGTAGACTAATAACGAAGACGGAGCAAACTAACTTGTGATTCCCTCGTCCCCTTTTCGAGGGATTTCGTTGATTAAGGAAAAGGCGTTTCCTAAAAGCAAGTTTGCTCGAATGTGTTCGACGTAAAAACTGATTTAGAATGTGTTTATGGAGATTGTAGTGGCGGAAGAGAATCAGAGCCGGCATAGAAATCGGGAGGTTTGCGTGATTTCGGGAAAGGTCAAATCTGGGAAGAAAGATTGGTTTTAATTTTGGTTTGTTATTCATATCGTGAATCGGGGCACTCCCATCGTTTGTTCATGCACATCGACGTCTCTGGATTTATTGCGTTCGCCATTCAGCCCATAACCATTCTTTCAGGTGTGCATTGTTTAGAGTTGGACATGATTTACATTAAAACAAGATTGATGGCGTATTAAAAAAGCAACGTGGTCGCAGCGCATATAATGCAATGTGAGCCATATAATATTATAGTTAAGATAAAGGGCAGTGAATTTGTTTGTGAGATAGCGTTGTATTTATGAGGATTCCAGATAAGAATGCCGTATGATATCGGACGATGGTTTACGCGAAGTTTACGGGCCGTATCTCTGCTGTTTCATAACCGCATATGGCATTTGGGAATTTATCTCGATTACTCGGGATTTCATACAAGACCGGTCGGTTCCACAATATTTATCTTCGGAAGGTACACTTTATTATAGGACATGCGCCACTTCGATATTTATCTCCACTCTGGTCCAGTCACTGCGGTTTCAACGAAATTCGAAAAAGTTGGCAAACCACACTATTAAAATGCAAAAAATAAAATAATACTTAGGTATATTAAATGCTCACAAGAAAATATTTATCTAAAACCGTGACAACCTGAAGGAGTAAGATTAAAATAAATGATAAGACACAACAGACAGAAAATAAGACTAGCAAAAAAGCCAAGACGGGACTAATTAAAGAGAAACGGTGTAATCAATTACGTCTTAAATATACTGCTTTCAAGAAAACGGGGATGTTTGCGTATTTTTTAAGTGTAACCGTAACGGCAGCAGCGTTAGGCAAATTTACTACCAGCCAAATTTTAAATTAACAAAATATGTACTCTTTTTATGTACTGGCTGATGACTTTGTTTCTGTTGCGATAACGAAATGAACACTGTAGGAGACCAGAACATAAAAATGTAGATTTCGCATTTCCATTGGTCTGTGGCCTGTTCATAAACGCTTACTTAACTACACGTGAAGATGGTAAAACTGATTTGTTTATTCATCCCCTCCAAAGTTTTATTACATAAGTTGCACTTGAAGTGTGCCACGTGACATGACCCCAAACATTTTTTTTAAGTGTGTAAGATCAAATTAAACAAGTTGTCGGAAAAACTACATAACATACTTATGAAGTTTTGGCAACATACTAACATTTATTTAGTGATTACAGCACGTGAACTAAAATTCGTTCATTCATTTTCACCTTACGGTCGATGAAATCACTGCAATTTTTTAAAATAAATTAATTAAATTATACGTATTAATTGAAAAATACGCCTGGAAGTGCCGTATTCCTTGCTCGTACACCGCTAGTCCAAAAAAAAGTAGTATCCGATTTATTGTATCAATTAAGTATTTTAGGAAGCGTTAATTTAATTTTCTATAGTTCTGCCAAGTCAGCACACGACAAATTTAATATTTTTGTTCTACTAATGTTTTACGACAAAAAAGTATTACATAAATCTCTAGTGCAAAGTAAGCTCTGAGAATCATGCCGTTTATATTATACCTACTTCAAAGGCGAGGAAAGTTCTGTATAAGTAATTTTATCGATTTTTACTTCTCGAGCGAAGGCAACTGCTCAGCATGCAGTGTTGCTTCTGCTACAGAAATGTGATTTTCCTTACGTAATAATGAGTGTTGCATTCTGTATATCAAAGTTTTACGTGAATAAATTAAACTTATAGTAAAAATACCACATTTTTAATGCAAATTTTTGCATAGAACTTGTTTCCTATTTGTTGCACCAAACATATACCTAATCGACAACTTGAAAACATTTTTTTCGATTTGTCTTTTTGCGTAACAAAAACGGGTTTGAAATGGTACACCTCGTATTCACAAAAATAAAAAGTGTATCCGAATTAAAGTTATTTAATAAGAGATTAAATCACTACTGATCGTTACCATATATAATTAATTGCTTAGTAGTAATTTACGGAGAATTGTGACTTCTGGCTATGCAGGTATTTGAAATAGTTCGCAATAAAACAAACTGTAATTTATGGTAATTCGTTACCAAACACCAAAAGACAAAGACCCGAACCTGAAATTGCGATTTTTATCACGTTTTCTGCGTTATTCCTTACTTCAAGTACATCATTTCCGTGAATTATTTTAAAATGTACACTGAAGCAGTGATTATGTTAACAAATAGAAGAAATTATTTATTAGTTTGACGTCCTTAATTTTAAATTCGATACCTACGTGTTTGAGTTTTTTAGCTCATTCATATTTCGGATGAAAACCAAACCCCTTTAACCAAGGAGATACCCGTTGTTTGAAATTTGGAAAAGCAGTTCATTTCGGTTTTGTTTATTTATTTTGAGTTTTGTATAACGGAGCAGAGAATGTTAACTAGAAAAACCTGATTTGGACGATCATAGTTTCTGATCAGTAATAGACTTGAAAAGATTATCAGAGAAAAAAAGAAAAAATAATTATGTTGCAAAATAAATGGACTTTTTTGCAGATTCTCTATAATATAATAATTATACATTTTATACAGATGGTAATTTAACAGTAATTTAATCGTTCTTTAATTAATTTAATCTTCCACCTGCTACCATAACTTGCCTTTTATGTTTGTTTATTCGCAAGTTAATTAGTATTTGTTCATTAGTTTACTCTTGTCAGTTTAGTTTTTATCAACTTTTAACTTCCCGACCGATGGCTAGACGAAGTATTTTATGTAACAGGTCATTGTCGAGAATATTTAACTTAATGTTTCTATAACGTTTCATAATTCGTTTAAGCGCAAGTTTCCCGCTTCCATCTGTTTGTCTGTGGTCCACTTTATTAGACAGATATTCTCATTAAATACGAATACAAATCGTTTACTTGGGAATATTTTAAGATTATCATTACAATAGTAAAATACTAACATTTGAAACCCTACATTCTGTGTGCGCTTTTATACTCCACCTCAATAAATACATTTTGGACCATGAAATTTTACAGGTGACATGTTGACGATATTTTGTGTGGTGCAAAATCTCGAAAAAAATTTCCAATAACTTAAAATCATGTGAAAATATTTTTGAAATTATCTGCTTTACGTAACCCATATTTATTGATCTTCTCAAATAATATTTGCTGCATTTTAACTCGCTCGTGGTCGTGAAATGTCGTATTTACATCATATCTCAGACGTTTTCAGGAAAAACCGGAAAACAATAGTCTCCATAAAGTTCATATTTCTGAAATCGACATTAAAGTCACACTTTTTCTACGATTTTGTCTCTGATTTTAGTGCTAGCAGCTCGTGGAAAATCTGATACCGTTAAAGTAAAAATGTGACGTTTTGGAGTTTCAGAATGGTTTAAATGGTCACCGTGACAGTTTTATTGCTCACACGATGAGCGGTTAATTTGTAACTAAAAATTTATTTTAATATCTTGATGAACAATTATATTATGAAAAAAAAGTTATAACAGAATTACCAAAAATGACATTGTGGTTACGACAAAAATAAACAATATAAAAATTGCGTGATGTTGTTCATCACAAGTTGATTGGAAAGATAAAAATAAGTGGAATATGTATGGATTCATTACTTCATTTCGTTTTCACTGATTCACTCAAATAGATTAGGTAACAAATTGTCGTATGTTACTGTTGAAGTCTTCTAAAAACATACATTTCGTTATAAGTATTGAATTATGGAGGTCGTACTTAGGATTAGTACAAATATAAATGAGAAGAAAAATTTGACTTTATGTGGGGTTGGAAATTGTACGGATAAAAACACATTTACAAGATTTTTCAACAAACAAGAGCACAGTTTCATATCAATTCGTCGGCCAGTGGTCGAACATAAAAAAGATGAATGTTGTTAACACTTTTACTTTTTTGGCGACTATACAAAAAACACAGTTGTTCGAAGCCTGTCAAACTTAATTAACGTAAAAATACGCTTTTAAATGAAATTTTATCAATACAGGTTTTAAGTGAAAATGTAAATTTTCAAAAAATCATAATCAAATTAAGTACAATAAATTCAGAAGAATAACCATATTTATAATATTAAATGTCACTGAACAATAATACATAGATCTCACCACACTGTTCCTAAAAGGTTGCAAACAGAAGCTTCACAGACACAGTTACTATCAAAATTCGGCAATTTTTTTAGCTGTACCACTGGCAGAGAATGTAATACGTAATACTTACGAGACAGCTAAATCCTAGATTAGTGATATAATGTTGGAACATTGATTTCTTCTTTGGAGAACAAATTCTGCAGCATAAATTGCCCATCCCACGTCCTACTATTTTTTTTAATTCTTTTAGTTGGCATCATGTTGCGTAAAAATTTAAAACTTGCTATCCAAACGCCATTATTAAACAAAATAATTTATGGCCTATTCTTGCATAACGACTTTCTCCATCGTGGCAGCGACTTAATTGTTGCCCAAATCTAAATCTGCCACATCCATCCGATTGTGTCTCTGTAAATACCAAACCTGTCCGACCAACTCTTATCCAAACACCGTCTATGTGCTCATCTCTTAACACTTCGTACACAAACTTCAACAAGTCCTCTGTTGTTCTAGTGATGTCAGACCGCATGTGTAGCGTCTCGCCCGCAGACACAGGCTGTTCGATGGAGAGCCCCGCACCGGACCAGCACGACCCCCACAGTTCAGAGGAGGAGCTGGAGGTGATCAACAGCAACAAAGAGGAACGTCCTACTCGACCGCTCCGAGCCACGTCGGTCTGTCTGCCGGAAAAGCGCAAGTGGTCCCAAGTCGGCGACTCGTACTCTCGCCACAAATACACGCCGGAGAACGAGGAAAACATGTCGCACTACGGCAACCTCAGCCCGTCGTCGCCGTGCTCCCCGTACAAGTGCTACGGGGAGGACGGCATTCACATCGAACATTCCGGCTCTTCGGACGAGGAAGTGCACAATCTGTTGGCCAGTATGGCCACCCCGGTGCAGTTCCGCACCTCGCCGCCCCTGGAGGCGGTCAAGCCGGGCAGGAGGACGCCGATGAATAAGGGCAGGTCGATGAGTCCACCGCCGAAATTGCTGCATTACGAGGAGTCGCCGAGGAAGAGGTCCAAACACACGAGACATGCGCATATTCAGAGGCCCTACTTGGACTTCGAAAAAATGCAACATGTAAGTAGACGACTGCTAGAGACGCTAATTTTTTTGCTAAAAAATAGGTCAAGGTCTTACTTAGCGAGGCACGCACTCCTTTGTATCACTGTTTATAAAACAGTGACAACGTCTTAAAAAATATTAAAATTTAGGGTCATCAGGATGTTGATATTGCTACCTGCTGCCTCTTCCTCTACTCTCCATGAAGCTGATGAAGTGAAATGGCTCAGCGTGGGCATTAAACACACTATTCATATTTTTAATAATTTCTGGAGATTCTAAAATATCTAGAAAGTTGCAGTTACTCTAGTTAATTTGACACAGTAGATTTAGATATCTTTTTTTTAAATCTAAATTTATTAACAATTTTAATTACTGGATTTATATTGCATCTTTAATCGTTTGAACTTTTTAGCATTTTTATTTATTGATTTAAAGAAGTAAAAACTCTTCTGTAACGAACAGTAATGAGAGTCAGAAATGACGTAAGGAAACGAACGAGTGTGTTTTCTGAGTACGTCGAATTCTAACCAAAAAACTATTATTACTTACAACAGCTGTGTCCAAAAATGAAATTTCGTAGTTCATTTCGTTGGGGTAGTATTTCATTGTTGTAACGACCGCACCAAGTGGTCAAACATATTTTTAACTTGGTGAATTTTAATAGACTCTTAATTTTCCGTAAGTAAGGTTAAGTAAGTTTAAGATTTTGTAAGCGAGATACATTAAAAGAGAAGCTGATGCTCTGGAGGTGTTAAGGTATTGTATCGATCTTTGTGAACTTTGGTATGTATCGGATCTAACAGTGTAAGGAAAATATATATGTTTTACAACATTTTACAGTGGGTGGGAAGTAAAATCGCGCGTCGAAAACACATCCATTTATTATATACTATACAACGAAACAATTTAGATGAATGGTGTAGTTACGCTGAGCTGAGCCCAAGATGAATGAAATGGATAGTACTTTCACGATTTTTCGTTGCATTTCACCTCATTTGGTATTAATTTTAAATAGATTATTATTTTTATTTAAATGGTCTGGTCTATCATCATATAACGATAATTAATTTATAACTTAGGGTTTTGTACAAGGAGTGGATCGTTTAATAATGGATTTAAAAAAAACAAACAATGTTTGACTTTGTTAGACATCAGGAATTAAAATTTAAGAAGAAAATAAAAATCTTATTGTGTCTAAGCTACTTCTCGTTGTTTTCGATAACAGGCTTGTTTTCTCAGTATGTACCATACTGAGAAAACAATTTCAAATTTATTTATTATTATTTATAGAAAAAAATCATATGATTTACTTCCATCTTTGACTAAGCCATGACTTTACTGATTTTCTTTTTAGTTATTATTCTTAAAACGTGAACACCGTTGCGTCTTTTAACGCATCCCGACATATTTTCAGAGATTGTTTGTAATTGCAAATATAAACTGAGAATAACACTCTTCATAATTTATACACTAAAGGTGACTACAGTGTTAGTCCTTGTATTTTTTTAGGTGAAAGATAAATAAGTCAAAAATGGGCCAAACAGACTTGTTCAGTTTTAAAGCTTTTAAAGTGAGCTCCTTTACACAGGGTATTGAATCCTATAAGTTTATCGTTCACAACATGCCTTTCACTAACTACTTAATAGTCATATCTCGTGTTCCAACACATCGTAATATTACACAAATTACCATTAAAATACAAGCTAATTCATATGTTTTAGTTTTTTGTATATAAAATTGCAACACCTAACAAAATGTGTCAATTTATATTTGTAAAGTTCCTATAGTATTTTAAGATTATTCCATAGTTCATGCGCATTAATTTTGAATTTGAAATTTTTGGCGCCAGTGGACAGTGAGAGGTACAGTGTGTAAATACAAAAAGCAGTGAATCCACATTGAAAATTATCACCGACGAAAAACAACCTATTTGCATGGGAAACAAGAGTTTAAATGGAACAAGAATGCTAACGGAGTCGGTGGTTCTTATTTTATTTTGGCAGACAGGTGTGCAGATTGCCGTCAACCAAGCTCTAGAAGTCAGTCACATTCATTCTAACTGATAGTTTCCATAAACGACAATGTGTTGGAGACCAGCAATAACTCAAATTGCTTGCAGCGAGAAGTAAAAGTCCGGACATTCATGGACAATAAAACTGTACCTCTTCAGGAAACTAACTAATTCTCAATATCCCTACTTTTTAATGACCGTCTGACATGCAACATTTTTTTTTCCGCAGCATCATCAGTGACGTTACAGCGCATTTTAAATAAATATTTTCACTTAATACTATGCTGTATTAACATAGTTGTATAAACCACACATCTTTAACACTGTTCTGCATTGCTTTTGCTCCGATATTTCGGTGGTGTGTGAGTTGAATTTGTACTTGAAACAAATTTGATAGATAACAGTTGCGTTTTTTTGTGCTGGTGTGGGGCCATAATAAATCAGAAGTATATTTTCTGACAGAAATATTAAAGTGCAATCGCCAGAAAATAGTGAGATCTGTGACGTTCACTTGAACAGCGGTAAAATGAACTGACACAAAAATATATAGTGAATGAAACAGCTTCAGTTGTAAAGTTGTCAGAATGTTGATCTATAATTTTTCTTAACGCCAGTCGTTACACATTCAGAAAGTAATATCTTCATTATCAAACGACTTATTACTATAAAATTTCAAATATAACCTCTGCACAGCTTTCTCTACATAACGCAAGGGCAGTTTTTAACAGTACTTGATTATCATCTGCTTTTTAAAATTTTGGTGAAATTTTTTATCATGTAGGTATCTATAAAAACCAACATCTCAAATATTTAAAGAAATTTCGAAACGCGGTTTTCACCACTGTTTTCAATGTACTATTTTAAGTTCTATTCGGAAGAACAGTTCAACATTGATTCTCCCTGTTGAAAGTTCCTCTTATAACATTTCCATTGGGAGACACTAGATTGCTTCAGTTATAATTTTTAACCCCGATTTGAAATACTACTGCTAAGATCGTACTGCTTTCCAATTTATCATACTTACTCTAATGAAGACATAGATGTAAAATAGCTGATTCTCCAACCAACATCAGTAATCGTTTGAATTTTGCTGCTCTAATTTTGAAGGAATTGTACGACAACGATAGACAGGTGTCCCAGATAAAACTCCACGGCATTATATTTTGAAAGCGGATATTGAAATTCTGTAAACGCTATTGTGTTAAGCTTTAAGGGGGAAGCTGAGCTAATTTTTTATTTGAAACGTATATTTTTAACAGATTTTGATTGATTAATAAATTACGGTTAGAATGGCATAACACATATGTGTTATATTAGTTTTAACTGTAAATAATATATCTTGTTCCTATATATTGTCGTGGAAACAGATGTGCAAATACAACTAGACTACTACAATATTTCCTTGCTGCGTGTCGAAAATGCTTGAATTTTTTAATTCTGAAAAATATTTATTATGAAAACTCGATGGTCAGCTCGTAGCCTAGACTTAACACCCTTAAGATTAATTTTTTTGGTGATATATAAAAGATTTGGCGTATTTATGACGCCTGCGTGATTTAGAAGATTAAAAAAAATTGAATTAGCATTAGGAATGTTTGTACCTCGGTAACACGAGATGCTTTTTTACCGCGAACTAATAAGTTTTGTGTTCGGTATGAAGGACGACAATTTGAGTATATGCTTAAATTACTGCTTTTGAAACAGATCTTATTAATTGTTTTAAAATAAAGTGGCAATACCTTATTTCACTCAACTTCATTTGTTAATATGCATACATTTCATTCTATTTGCCAAATTAAGCTTCCCCTTTCAAGCTAAAAGCAATGGCGTTTACCCTTTTTCAAGACATATGTAGGTATATCTATATTTTCTTTACCGTGGGTCGTGGTGTTTTGTTGTATAACTTCTAAGAAACCATCTACCCAAATACCTTCGGTAGGTTTTTTTGCTTTACCGGGGGATTATAGTCAACAGTAGAAAAAAATGACCTCTTAAGCGCCATACTGAGTAGTGTAATTTTTACAGCTTGTGATATTTAAATTTTATGAAATATGAGACGCGATGATTTTTCAAGATATTTAGAAATGTCGATGTGCAATTTCTTATTCGTACGCCCACTCGGCTGCTGCCGACAAAAATTAATCAAGTCGAAACCTTTTAGTTTTCGCATTCGTCGTTCAGTTACATAGAGGGCAACATACTTGGCAGACAAATGTGTTTTATCACTGTATTTACATTTTTCTGTAACACTGGTAATTTACCAGAAGTAATTACGTTTTTTTTTAGCTCACAGAGTTACAAAAAATGGTAGATGATACGTGCTGTTAGGTTAAAGGGTAAGATGAAATCTTTAGAATGAGGAATATATTTATAATGATTATGACTAATAGTTATAATACGACTCGGACCATAAAGAACCTACGATAGTACAAAACAAAATTGAAACAAAGTGTATTTATTATTGACTTATTTCTGTCTATGTATTTGATAACACTGAATAAACTACGTACACAAAAATTTGTTAATGATATGATGAACCCATGAAAATTACCGTATCGATGAGAGGTTTGACGTGATTAAAGATTTCTTGTTTGAAGGTTTTTTGAGATACCATAGTTAACGATCGTGTGGAACAACTTCTATTTCTTATACATTTCATATGTAATTATGTGTGATTAATGAATAATTACACATACACGTTCTTTATAACTAATTAAGAAGATAGAAACAGATATAAGACATAAGCAGCACGTTTTTCGATTTGTGATATTGGCGTTTCACTAAGCAGTAATGTGCATGTGTATTTTTTATCGTCATCAGCATTTCAGTGTGCTTTTCATAATTGCGATTAGAAAGTGGATAAGATTTTTTTTTCAGCAAGTTAATCCCAAGTTTGTTCACACGATATGATAAGAACGGCAATTATATACGTAAAAAAATATTCAGAATAATGTAAGTGGAAAATATATTTTTATTCTTTTTTATTAGGTCGGCCAATTAGAAA